CCACTTCACCCTAAATATCCACTATTAAGGACCATAAGCGCTCTATTGAAGGGGACTTGCGGGGTTCCTGGTAGATCCAGGACTCCATAATCAGGCCATCGGCAAAACACTTCGGAGTTCAGGGGTGTCAAGCTTTGTGGGCACTGGGGCATAGGGCGCCTGGGCGTTGAGGTTAGGCCCTAAACCCTAAACCCTGAGGTGGAGGCTTTAGGGCTCTTGGGTTTGTGGGTTCATGACTGTATAAACCTTCCACTCTAAGCCTTGCCGACCTGCACTCCAAGGTTTACTGTAGGGTTTAGGGTTTAGGGTTTATAGGGTTTAGGGTCTCTCTAAGCCCTGACGACCTGCACTCCAAGAATGACTGATGAAGAGGTCCACGCTTTCTGTCTCCACAGAGGCGCCAAACCTCTGGGCGCAAGGGAGGATGCTGAGCAATACCACGATATGGCTTCACAGGCTTCTGATTCTGATGCTTCAGTGAGGCGGCTTAGGGCCTGGATAACTCGACCACATTTTGCAGCACTTTGCTTCTTTGGTGATGCTTCAAATCTCTTACACCTAGGATCCCAGCCCAGAAACCGTGAACTGAGATACGTCCAACCCTATTCCTAAACCCTGGGACCCTGAACTAGGCCGTATTCCAAAATCCTAATCAAACGACGCTAGAAGAACTGGAACTACCGGAATTGCTACTACTACTACTCCTACTCCTACTCCGACGACTACTAGAATCACTAGAGCTACTACGACGACGCCTACTACCACCACCACTACCATGTGCCGGGAATTTAGAACAATTACTTGAGCAAGATTGCCACGCAATCTTGCAATCATGGTCTCGCCGCCAGTGTACCTTCTAGACCAAGATTGCAACGGGAAGCAAGATTGCCAAGCAATCTTGCAATCTTGGCTTCCAAAGGGTAAACTAAACTAGTCGGCGAGCAAGTGCGGCAAGTGGGGCAAGTATGTAGGGCAAGATGCCCGAGATTGCTTGGCAATCTTGCTCCCCCCTGACCAAGACTGCCAAGATTACCAAGATAGTTCGGTCAATTAATGTTCTAAACTCCCGATACAATCTACCACTACTTCTAATTCTTCTGCTGCTGCTGTTGCTGCTACTACTACTACCACTACCACTACCACTACTACTACTACTACTACTACTACTACTACGACTACTACTACTACTACGACTACTACGACTACGACGACTACTACGACTACTACTACTACTACTACTACTACTACTACTACTACTACTAATGACTAGTACTACTACTCCTACTCCTCCTACTACTACTACTACTACTACTACTGCTACTA